ATTAATCCAGAACCTCCCATCAAACTGCACTGACGGGATTCCCACGCTGCTTCTCCATTGGGTATCTCCACAACTTCCACATTCCCCTAGAACCAGTTCCAATGACATCTGAACCACATGGTCAGGTAGTCACAGCCGTGACTGTGTACCAAACTTGGTTGCAGTTACATCCTTCACTGCTGGGCAAAATACATAACACTGGCCATGAGAGGAATGGGAGGTTTATTTGGGCTCATGTTTCAGTCTATAGTCTTCTAACTCCTTAACACAACGGCCTGACTGAGGGGATGGCAGAGGCATGGAGGCCCAGAAGCAGAGTCAGGGGAAGACGGGCAAAGGCGGTAGCCGCTTCCGCCGAGGGCCATGGCAGCCGCCTCTTCCGTCTCTGTAACAGCCACTCGGGTCCCTTCACCTTCCAGGGCCCTCCAGTGTGCTTTAGGTTGATGGCAGGAGGCTTTAGAGGGACAGCTAGCTGCAAACCATAACACAAACTGGGAACAATTACAGGTTAGCATTCCATGCCTTTTTTTCTGTAAGCATTAATTTTTGGGGACTACTTTGTTAAACGGGCGTAAACATTGAAGAGAGGGTGAAGGCCAAGGACGAGTCACGTTCGTGTGGAAGGTAATTAGGGAGAGGAAAAATTTGCTCGCGTGGTTGATTATAACACTGATAGTGTTTTTACATTGGTAAACATCTTCCAGACCTGCGGAGCTCTGTCACTCACACCTCATGTCCCCGGGGCTGCAGGGGATGTTGGTCTTCCATTCTCAGAGCTGGGAAAAGAGGCCAGAGCGGTCACCTCCAGGGATTTTGGTAGGTTACTGAGAAGTTGGGGTCAGAAAGTGTGAGAAACTGAAATCTCACTTCCTATCTCCCAATATTACATTATAAAGGAAAATAATCTATTTATATATTCTCCAACTACTGTGTTATATAGTTCCTGTTTTATACACACATAGCTATAATGAATAACATATATTATTATTATTATTATTTTTTTTTTTAATAACCCTGACCCTGGATTTAAGTGCTTGCCTTTTCCCTCATTGGGGAAAAGTATAGGTTTGGTTTGAGTTTGTTCTCCTTACAGGACAGAAGCTTGAGACAAGGGTGGGTGCTTTGCCAGCGTCCTTTTGCTTCTTCCCGTGTCCTCAGCCCTAACATGGCATCACCTGGGAAGGATCCTCCTCTTCCCCCGGGCCTGGAATTGAGCCCAGGGCCTTGACCCCGGGCTACATCCTCACCCTTTTGTAGTTCTTTAAAAAAGATGTCCAGGCTTGTCTTGGGTTTGTGGTCCTCTCTCAGCCTCCCCAGAGGTGAGATCCGGGTATGCACTGCCATGCCCAGCTTTGGAAATGTCTCTGTATTACACTGTCCCCTCAGCTGTGTCTCAGATCTGGAAGCAGGCCTTACCTCAGTAGTCCATGGCATATGCGTCATTTCATCTTGACTACTACATCTTAACTTTTGACTAAAAATGAACTCTTTCACCGAGAGATGTCAGGTGCACCTTCAGTTTCTATTAAAAGTGCCTTCATTTTCTCTGTTGCCCTGGAAATAATTTCATATTCCTCCCTCTCATTTTCTATTTTACTTCTTCTCTCCTGCTGTGCTCCTCCAGGATTACTCAGTGCTTAGTCACCATGTGAAGTGTTCTGAAATCCTCCCTACTGAAGGATTTCTTTCCACTTTGCAACCTCCCAGTCTCAGCCCCCGGTCATCAGAGGTGTGACCTGGTCGCGCACTTCCCCTCTAATCCCTTGGCCTCTCGGACCTGCCAAGCCTCTTATGTTTCCACTGGCTTTATATTTTGGAAACACCCGTTTTGATCCCGAGATTCAACTGCTGCCAACCTTTCCTTGGCAAGACCTCCATTGCCAGAGAGAAAGCCCAGACTGCTTAAACAGGTTAAGGCCCCTTGCGCTCTGTCTTGCACTGTGTGGATTTTGTTAGGGTTCACGTTCTATTTTTCCTTTCATCTTTGAAAAGTGATGCCAGGCACTTTTCATAAAATGCGGTGCAGCTCTGTCTGCATTAGTTGATTTTTCTCATCGTAGGTAATGTGCATGTAGATTATTGTCTTTATTTAGAAAGCAAACCTTAGTTTAAGCCTGAGGAAGCCCACACATGGGTAGGAGGTTAGAGAAGGGAAAATGTACCGAATTTGTAGCAAGGGCTTCTGCTGTACATCATGTGCCTGCTAAGTCAGTAACTTTTTTCTTAAAGGAGAGTAAACCTGAAACTGGAATTGCAGCTCCGAAGTAACATTTGACACTATTTTCTGCTCGCTTCATTTTCTCTGTCCCTGCACATTTCCTTCAGAAGTTCTTTCGGTCAAGGTTCGCTGGTTGCAGAGAGTCAGCCAAGTAGATGCAACCTGCTTTATCTTGGAAAGGGCCCTGCTGGAAGCGGCCAAGTAACTGAGTTCATGTGGAGGGGTTGACAAACGTGCTTGTCACTGTTTGGCCAGCCGCCTGCCCTTGCTCTGGAGCTACGGTCACTGTCCCTGCAGCTGTGGCCTTGGAGCCAGGAGAGGATGGTGCGAAGGGCACTCACTGGCTGCTTCCCTGCGCTCCTTCCGTCCCACACTCCAGCCTGCCTTTCCTCTCCTCTCCCCCTTCCCTCCCTTCTCGCTCCAGCTTCCTCCACCCCTTCTTCTGTACCCCTCGCCCCCTCACCTTGAACATCTCTTGACGTGGGACTTAGTGGCTTCCTCCACTGGCTTGTGGAGTGTGTAGCTCTTAACCCAAACGGTTTCCTCTTGTCAGTGTTGCTGGGATTGCAAATATTTATTCCTGGTGTGTGACTTTTCTTACTTGAATTAAGCTGCCATACCCACATCCTTAGAAGAACTTCTAAGGAACAATTATTTGGGTTTTTTTTACAAAGCATTTCATTATCAGGCTTTTTTTTTTTTTTTCGTAGTGTGTTTTGCTATTTATGGCCCTTGCCTTTCAGACAGCGTTCCTGACCACCTAGCACCTTTTATTCATTGCAAATATTTTTTAGCACATAGCTCTCCCTTAGGACTTTCACATATGTCTAAGGTAACTTTTACTTTCTCCCCCTTGCCACATTTCTCTTCAGAAACTCACTTCAGTAGTTCTCACCTGCCTGGTGTTTAGGCCTCGCTCCATATGGTGCACGCATTCCACCTGTGTCCCTGTGCTTCTCCTGACCAGGCTGCAGGCCGAGGCCTGAAGGCATGCAGGGTTCAGTGCCACATACCTCTTCACCCTGCTTCCTGCCTGCTGGGAAGCCGCAGCCTGGCCAGGGTTCCTGTGTCTGGGTGCCAGCAGAGGTGGGTTCCTTCGGAGACCCTCTGCCGCGCCCTTTGTCTGTCTTTGCCCAAAGCTGTCCCCTAATAACTTCCCATGTCCGCCCTCCAGTGCCAAGCAAAAGAGGTCCACAGGCAAGTAGAGTTGTTCCTAAGGCGGTTGTGGGAGGGCAGCTTATGTGGATGGAGTGAGTGTTGGAGGCTGCCTGGGAGAGGAGAAGTCAGCAGGGCAGGAAGGGGACTCACTCTCCAGCTGGTTGATGAGGGTGACCCGAGCTGGTGAACTTCGTTGCTGCTCTCCTGTCCCCTTCTCCTGAGTTGCTGTCTATGGCACTCCATAGGGACGGTGGGGTTTCTTCTGAGTTTCACAAAAAGGGAAAATCTCCCGGGGATTTCTTTTGCTGGAAGAATGTGAGCGTAGTTCAGTGTTCAGTGAAACGAGGTGGTGGTGTGATAGCGTTGATTTGGCGGCATCTGCATAGAGACGTCCTGACGCGGTGTCCTTAGAGCCCTGGCTGCGACTTGGGTGTCTCAGTGACTATCAGAACCCACTGCGACTGTTCCTGGGGTGTCCTCTGCCCTCCACATGCTCCTCCCATCCAGGCATCCAGGACAAAACAGCACGGGCCATGGTGGCACGCACATGTCGCCCAGCACTCAGGAGGCTGAGGCAGGAGGATCACCAGGAGTGCAAGGCCAGCCTGCACTACATAGCGAGACCCTGTTTGAAAAACAAAACACTGACACCCGAAAATGAACATACCCACAGTGTCTTCCTGAGTCACCCCTTCCTCCTGTGCCAAGTCCCCGCCACTCTGCCCTTCCTTCTCCTCCTTGATTCCCCAGGCCACCCTTGCTTGGCAGGCCATGGTTGCCTCCTGGGGTTGTGGCTTTTGCTCTCCTAGTTTCATGTTCTCTGCTTTCCTGCAGGACGTGGGACGGAGTTTCCTAAGGCTTCAGATGCACTGTGGGTAAAAGCTAGCCCTGACCCCCTTGCTCTCCCGGCTCCCAGGGTTATTCTGTGCCCTGCTCAGCCTCGCTGTCAGCAGCCCCACCTGTTCCCCAGGATTCCTGTCCTCCCTCACCTTCTGTGCAGCCCAGGTGCTTTGGCACAGGCCTGTAATCTCAGCAACTTGGGAGGCTGAGGCAGGAGGATCACAAGTTCAAGGCCAGCCTGGGCAACTAAACTAGGCCCCACCTCAAAATAGAAATATGTGATGGATGTCAAAAGAGTAACACAAGCCAAACAAAGCTTCCCAGGTTCTGTCATTTAAAAATGTCCTTTGTTGAGACATGCGACGTACAATAAACAATGAATTTAAAGCATACAAGTTGAACAGCATACCTATTGAAATGACTATAACTCCGAAATTAAAATGTTTTCAGGGTGAATAAGCTATGCTAAATAATGTATATGTGAGAGATTGCCAAATGAATAAAGAAAATTCCACCCTCACTGAACGGTTTTTTGAAGGCATTTTTGCATAATATTGGATTTTTCATGTGTGTTTGCTTTCGAGACGGGGTCTCTCTATGTTGCTCAGGCTGGCCTTGAAATCACAGTGATCTTCCTGCCTCAGCCTCCTAAGTTCTAAGGTGACAGACCTGCGTCCCCATGCCCAGCTTATTTGAGGATATTAAGAGAATGATTGTTGGCCCTCAGTCATCGTATATGCTTCTGCTATGTTGTTTACAGTCTTTCTGTGCCTTTGTATTTTAGCAGGATGTTTGTTCTAGTGGGTGCCCCCAAAGCCAACACCACCCAGCCAGGCATCGTGGAAGGAGGGCAGGTCCTCAAATGTGATTGGTTCTCCGGCCGCCGCTGCCAGCCAATCGAGTTCGACTCAACAGGTGAGCCTGATTGTAGTGGTCTAGTCTCTAGCGGTACATTTGATTTTTCAACAAAAGTAATGATGTGATAATAAAACGAGGAGAGTCACCCCGGGACCTCAGGGAAAATTATGTAGGCACATGATTTATATGATTTTCCTACTTTCCTAGTGTGTGAAAAAAGTATTAAAAATACAGTGTTTCCGTTGTTGCCCAGGACTTCCGGTCCAGACTGGAAGTGCCAACGGGTAGCAGTTGGGCACAATCCACTGAGAAAAGAGAGCCCTCGAACACAGTAGGGCTTTTGCCCAATTCTTTCTGAGCTAAACTGCAGCCTCGCTCGCCGGCCACTCTAGCAGACTGACTCCTTAATTAGGAAAACCTCCCAGACCATGGTGTGCTGCAAAACACAGCTGAGGAGGCTTCGTGGTCAGTACATGGAAGCGATTGGAAAGAGGCAAGACCCTTTAAGAAAGCTCTTCAAACTCAATGCAAACTCAAAGGGCATTGTACGCCATGCTTCCAGTAAGGGTCGTTTGAACTTTAGGGACAGATTTCAGTGGTAGTCAGGACTGTGATGAAAAGGAGAAAAACAGCTGAAGGAAGATGAGACATAATTGAAGTTTTATATTTACATCAATAGATTAGGATATAAACCTGGATACAATTATGTTCGTGCATTAATATATACTTGTGAAAGCTTAGAAAATCTTCAGAGGGTTAAATATCTCTTTTAGTTTAATAGTCTTATAAAAGTTTTTGATGATTACAGAGTACTTTGGGATAACTGTGCAAAATTAATCATTTTTCGTGGTGCTGTTGCCTACTAGTTCTGTAATACATTGTTTCTGAGAATTAAAATGTCATCAAAGCAGGAGTGAGGCCAGCTGCTCAGAGGAGCTGGGTCACAGGGCTTTTGGTTCTGTTTTGGTTTTTTTTCCTTATGAAATTCTCTACCCTAAACTGTGTTGTGTTTTTTTTTTTTTCCGCTTATGGTCAATCCTGGGAAAACCTGAAGAGTTGGTAGTCAAGCTCAGTTTTTTTCTTTTCTTTTCTTTTTTTTTGGCGGAACCGGGGATTGAACTCAGGCCCTTGCACTTGCCAGGGAAGCGCTTATTCCACTGAGCCATCTCCCCGGCCCCTCAAGCTCCTTTTAACACAGGGCAGCAATATCTACTCTTCAGATCACTCTAGGTCAGAGATTTGTCTTGTATCAAAGTGTGAATCCTATTAAGATGACATGTACTTACTTATCTGTGTGTGGAAATCTTCCGGGAGGTTTTGGTTTTCAGTGTATGACAAAATAATTTATTGCTGATCTTAAAAAAAAAATCAAAAAACAAAACACATGCTCTGGGTGGTTTTGTGCTTTGTTGAAAAACATCATCCGTACCTGTCATAGCAAATTTCAGTCATCCCATAAGTGTGTCTAGTGAAGAAAAGAGATCTCTTGTACCAAACTGCTCCGTGGTAGTTGCTTCTAAGAGTGATTTTATCCTTCTAGGATGAAAGTTTTTATACATGTATGCATCCTTAGAAAAAAAGCAATTAACAAGTTGAAACATTCTAAGTAAGTAGGTGCTGTGCTGCCAGGGATCCCCTCTTCCACGGCCCATGAACATCTAGTAGGTCTTTCCATATGGACCAAAACTGAGGATGTACCTGTATTGGGTAAATCACTGACAGTGTTATGTGTATATATGTGCCTAATTTTTTTAACACACATTTCCTGTCTACTATGTATGGATTGTTCCCAGTCTTTTGTTATTTTAAGCACTGGTAAAGTGAAGTTTTATGCACTGGTATTTGTATAAATGGCAAATGCTTTTGTGTGATAAAGCTGTAGTAGGGGACTTGGGGTTAAAATTATGTATATTTAAAATTTTGTTTTTGAAAATTATTCACATGCCCTCGATTATGTTTTCTTATACTTGGGCTGACACCATTTATCACCATATTTTAAAAATATTATTAATACATGTTTGTAATACTGTTCAGGCCTGTGTGTAGAGGTCCCCACAGTCCTCATGCAGGCCAAGGTGGGGCTTTTTGGAGGTGACTGGATCTAGAGTGTGGGGCTGGGATTCAGGGTATGTGAGTAGTAAGTTAGTCCACTGATCGTTTGGCATAGTTCTGGGAGTGAGTAGGATGTAAAGGGACAGAAAAGAAGCTGCAATTAGGGGCCAGGGAGATAACTCAGTGGAATAAGTGCTTCCCTGGCAAGCTCAAGGGCCTGAGTTCAATCCCCAGTTCTGCAAAAGAAGGAGGAGGAGGAGAAGCTGCTATGGCACTTGGGGGGGGGGGGGGGGGGAGGGGAGGGGAGAGCTGCGATGGCACTTACAGCTTGCTGCTTTCTGCCTGCCCTGCTTTGCCATGTGCTGTTTCTCCGCTGTGCCTCCCTGCCTTGGAGCCCGCTAACTGTGGACTGAAATACCTACAAACTGAGCCACAATAAACCTTTCCTCCTTTACCTTTGGGTGTTGGGTATTTTGTGTCAGCAACAAGCAAAGTAACGCAAGTACATTAATTGTGGGGAAATTGGAACACATACACGACACACCTCAATTCTTTTTCTTCTCTCCCTTTCTTTCTACCTGCCGTTTTTTTCCCCCCCAGCATCAGATTCATTTGTCTTATAAGTGCTTATGAAGTTAATTACCATACGTGGAGATAAACAGGTCTAAAAACACATAAGACACTTGCACTAAGTCAAGGTGCATCTTCAGATGTTCATACTACATTACAATAACACCTTTTTCTTTCTTTTCCTCTGGTTTGCCTTTTATTTTGCATTTTATTTATATATTGGACGTCTTGTATAAGAGAAGCCATGAGATGTTTAATCTTGTGTATTTGATTTACTTCACTTAACAGTATAATCTTGAGGATATTGAAAAATATATTGTTAGGGCCAGCCAGATAGCTCAGCAGATTAAAGTGCCTGCTTAGGCAGGCACTGGTAGCAGGGTTCGATCCATCCTCTCCTCATCCCTGGACTGCCCGCACCACATGCTGTGCTGGCCCTTCCCCCAGGGCATGCTGAGACTGCGATTGAGACTGGGTGTGGTGGTGCAGATTTGTAATCCCAGTGCTTGGGAGGCTGAAAACAGGAGGATCACTATGAGTCTGATCTGTGTAGTGAGACCCTGTAGGTCTTGTACTAAATATAAGTGTGTGTGTGTTATTTGTGTTAGTACATGGTATCAGTACTTAATGATTATATTCATTGTAAGGAGTTAGTATATGACTTTTTTTTTTTTTCAATTTTGTGGGAGAAGTAACCTTTGTTATATTAATTTGCATTCTTTCTCATTAACAGTAAGATCTTTGAGTGTATCTGACAGCCATAGGTGTTCCTTGCCCTGTGGGCTATTTTCAGTGTGTCTGGGCTTATTTTATATTGATTGTGAGTTTTAGAAACTGTGTCTCAGTGGAGGACTTGCTAACCTTTCAGACTTAGGATCTGTAGTCATGTGTGACACTGACTCAGCCAGCGAGTCACAGTGCAGCCGCTTCCTCTCCGTTGTGGCCAGCGTCCCAGTCCCAGTCACCCTTGTCTCCCACCTGGACTGCCGCCCTGGATTTCTGAATTAGTCAGGGCCCAGCCAGGAACGAGGCCGCACGGTGGAGTCGGGGTGGTGGTGGCAGGAGCCTGACTGTTTTCAGGACTGCAGGGTCTTGAGCCTGGCACTCCAGGCCTGCAGGGGGAGAAGTTGGCAGGACTCTGGGATGGGGGACAAGGTGGAGAGACCAGGGGAGAGGTGCGGGGCTGTGTCAGGACAGCAGCCCTCCAACACGACAGGAGGGACAAGCAGGGTGTGTTACTCAGCTTGCTGTGGCTGAGACAGAATGCCAAGGTAATCGGCTTTATGGCAGAAAAGACTTTTCAGAGGTGGCCCTGCAGGCTGGCCACTGAGGTGCATGCATCAGCTCCAGGCGGGACACGGCCTGTCAGCCTTCATCACCCTCTCCTGGGTTCAGTGGGTCTCTCGCCTGGGTGGCCTCATCTTTCAGGAATGTGCTCTCCCCAGATGCCCATTGGGTTGCCTGTCTGTCCATCTGTGACATTTGCTTGTCGTTGCCTTCTCAGCAGTGCTCTGGCCGTCTTACTTAAAACTGCGCTCCTCTCCTCATCCCTTGCTTCCCCTCTCCTCTCCACTTTGTTTTTCTCTGTAGCACTTACTTACTACTGAAGAAAATAAATTATATAAAGGGCTGGCCATGGCCCGGGAGATGGTTCAGTAGAATAAGCACTTCCCTGGCAGGTACAAGGGCCTGAGTTCAATCCCCGGTTCTGCAAAAAAAAAAAAAAAAAAAAAAAAAAAGAAAAAAAAGAAAGGGTTGGTCAGATAGCTCAGCAGATTAAAGCACCTGCTTAGGCAGATGCCAGGATGGGGTTTGGTCCCCAGTGTGCCATGCTGGCCCCACCCCTGGACCACACTGAGACCTCGGCTGAGACCCGGCGTGGTGGCATGCACCTGCAATCCCGCACTTGGGAGGCTGAACACAGGAGGATCACTACGATTCCTTTCTGTGTAGTGAGATCCTATAGACCTTGCACTAAATACATAAAAAAAGAAATTCTTTCTCAGTATATGTTATCCATGAGGACAGCTTTTGTTTTGTTTTTGTGTGTTTTATTCACTACTAAACCTCCAGGACTTAGAATAATGCCTGGTGTCTGGCGAACATGGCTGCCTGTGAGCCAGACAGGTGAGTGAGCACATAAACTGCACAAAGTATTTGTATCAGGAAAAATATAAAGTCCTTAAGTTCCATCTAGCTGTCCCCCTGTCTGCCTGGCCATCTGCCTGTCCACCCTTCCTCCCATCCATTTCTCTGTTCGTTCCCTTCCTTGTTAGATACTGTGGATACCCGTTACGACAGCATAATGAAATGTAAGCTAGACAATACACACAGAGTTACAAAAGTAGAAAACTAAGAGTCCACTATTGGTAAATGCTTATCAAATTCCCACCTTTGCTGAGTGCTGTGGTGCATGCCTATATCCCTCTGGGAGG